CTGAATGACATCGCACAATTAATTGGACAAGCCAGCAGCCTAGAAGTCAATCTTGTCATCTTCCTTGCTGTCATGTTCATGACTATTCTATCGCCAAATTCTGTCCATTTTATTTCCTTCACTCCTCTTGAACCAATTTATTTTATCTGGTATTTATCATTACTGTAGCCCGAGGTACCATCTTCTTCCTCTAACTGGCCTCCCATCTCCGTTCTTGTACTTTCCCTCAATTCTTCTCTGCTCTGCAGCCCAAACGATCATCTAAGAATGTCAGTCTGATCATGTCGTTCCATCCCTGCACAACCGTTAATGACTTCCTGTCAACTGTTAATGGCTTCCAGGATAAAACCCAAAATTCCTAACACAGCGCACAGAGCGCTGCCTCACCTGGGACCTGCTAACCCATTTGCCTCCCAGTCCAGCCACATCAGCATGCTCTTCTCCGTGTCTCCTTCCACCACGTGACCTTTGCAGGTGCCGTGTCCTCTCTCTAGAACAGTTCCTCCCCACTCTGGTCTCTTTGGTCCAGTTACCACCTACATATTCACCTGCATGTTTCTGCTTACTTGACTCACTTTGGGATGAGTTTTCCTGATACAACTGATAACATATAACTACTCCAGCTTATGTCTTGGGCAGAGGAAAATGAGCTTTTCTCTGAAGCACTGCAGGCCAAGTCAAGATTCTCACTTTCCTCCATGAGCACCATGATCCTTCCCTTCCTTGCATCCATCAGCTTTAATTCCCACTTTTATGGTTGATCAAAGATGAATTCCTTCTCCCTTTGCTTTTCTGTAAACTCCATGAGGACAGTGTCTGTGTCTCGTTCATTCACCCTTGAATCCCCAGGACTCAGCACACTTCCTGTCTCTAGCAGAGGTTCAAAATATATTTGTCAAATTAATGCATCTGAGGATTTTGCCTTCCACTCTTCCTTCCAGAATGTTTTCCCCCTGATTCAGCTGTGGACTACACCGCAGTTTTACCAGCAATTCTTCTCTTACAGTTTTACAGTGATATCCAAGTTTATTCAGACTTTATGTCTTCAACATGTTTTGATAGCTCCCTCTCAGGAGGGCCTGCATGAACCTCTGGAGAGGGGCTTGGGGCAGGTGAGTGGAATGAAAGAAAGCTTGTCCAGAGGGATTCTGACTCACCATCCCTAACCCCCTCCCCCTGCAAGATAAGCAGGAGAAACCTCTGAATCTCAGGACAACTGCCTAGGGTCTGGGGAGATACTCTCACAAAGTGGTCTTCCCAGGAGTCCTTCTGCTCACCTTTTCATTCCTCCTCTCCTTCCAACTTCCCTCAGGCTTTTATAGAGTACATATTTACAGAGGGAAGAGCTGCCTTTTTTGCATTTGGGTCCATTTGAAAGGGTAGATCTGTGGAAGGAGAGAAATGGCCACACTGCTGTTAGCTTTCTGTAAAGCAGCACACACCTCTCTAGTGTGTGTTTATTACCTACCCCTTGAGCTAAACATGAGGCTGAGAGGTAATTGCCCAGGTCTCCAGGCGAGTCCATTTCCCTGCAGGTGCACTCACAAGCGCTAAGGAGCCCTGAGGTATAATCTTTACACAGCTGCCTTGGCAACTGAGTTCACCAATGTTTGCTGTGTGTCCAAGGACAGGCAGGTATCTGCAGCAGTGGGTGTTTCTAACAAATTCTCCTCTCAAATTGGCACATTCTCTGTGAGATTTCCAGACTTCATGGTGTGTCTCACAGTTTGGGAACAATTTCCACCATCATATGACTGGCAAGTACTAGTTCTGTGGTAATTTGTGTCTTTAAAATAGCTTAATGCACAATAGGGCACAGAGGTCCATTTTGCTCCTGATGTAATCACTTAAATACACATTCCTGCAGTGTTCCTGACACAAGATTGCTTCTGAGCACATCCAAAAGAACATCATGTTGCAATTCTTTATTTTTTTATACATACTTACATTATCCATACCTATAGAGAGGTTAGACTTCTGTTCTAGATTAATTTCCTCTTCAGATCTATGTTTCTCAGAGATTTTATATTGTTGAATTATTGTTTTTTATTCTTAAATGGTTCTATCAAATCATCTATGTTATATCAAGACCGAGTGATAGCTTTGTAACTACTTTTGCTACTTTGAGGATAAAAACTGTCTTGGTTTGCCCAGGACTACAATGGATATCCAGGACTAGGCATTTTCAGGCTAAGATCAGAAGAGTCCAAGACAAATCAGGACAAAGCAGTTGCCCTACCACTGTTGCTTGATAAGGGAGTAGGTAAACCCAGTCAAAGGGAATCCTTATTCTCTAGGTAGACTAGTTTAGTGGTTGGTAGAAATTCCCTAACGAAGTGCCTTTCTCTCTCTCTCTCTTTCTTTTTTCTTTCTTTTCTTTCTTTCTTTCTTTCTTTCTTTCTTTCTTTCTTTCTTTCTTTCTTTCTCTTTCTTTCTTTCTCTTTCTAAAATACAATAGTTTATTGTAGAGATAACTCATACCTTACAATTAATACAACTATTTAAGTGCATACTTCAATGGTTCTGGGTAGTGTAACCCTAACCACAATTAATTTTAAAACATTTCCATAACTCCCCACCCCTGGAAGTAGTCAGCCCTCACCCCTAACATACACTCATTCCTTATCTTCTGGCCACCACTCCTCTGCTTTCAGTCTCAATAGTTTCCTTTTCTGGGTTTCTCATACAGATTGAATCACACAGTATGTGGACTTTTGGTTCTAACCTGTCTTGTTTAGCATAATGTCTTCATGGTTCACCCACATTGTAGCACATATCACAACTTCGTTTCATTTTGTTGACAAATATTCTCTCTCTCTTTATATATATATATATATATCTCCATGTATCTATCTATCTCTATATATCCGTATATCTCTCTATATATACATATAGATAGCTCCCTCTCTCTCTCTCTTTGTCTATAGCTATCTATCAGATTTTATTTATCTATTTATAAGTTGGTGGACATATATGTTGTCCCTACCTTTTGGCCACTTACGTGTATGTTTTTGCATGGATATATGCTTTCATTTCTCTTGGATATATACCTAGGGCTGAAATTCCAGGTTATGTAGTGACTCTATGTTCAACTTTTGGGGGAACTGCCAGACTCTTCTACAAAGATTAAAACTTGCCAGTCTCAACAGCAGAGTATGCAGATTCCAGTTTCTGTATATCCTTGTCAACACTTGTTAGTGTCTGCTTTTTTAGTTATAGTCTTTCTACTGGGAGGCACCTCACGGTTTTGATTTGCATTCTGTGGTAGGCAGTGATATTAAGTATCTTTTCATGTGCTTATTGCTAAGCTTTTTAAATGGATGGTATTTAAATTTGAATCAAATGCTCACAAATATTTTCCAGTATCCCAAATCTTTCTACCCAAAGCTAAATCTGCACATTTTATGTAAACCATTGACTTTTCCTCATGATCAGAGTAAGTCTCTCACTTGCCCAGAGTTGGGGCATCCTCTGCTATTTCCACCAGGCCTTCTTGCCTTAGTGGCTGTCTTTTCCTGGAGGCTATCAGGCAATGAACTGTGTGCTCCCTGAGTGTAAGACTGGATACGTTCCCTGCTACAATGTTGACAAATTTCCTCAAAGGTTTCTGTCCCATGATCACTCTTACTGTTGGTGCTCTGGGTATCGGGTAATTTACCTACTCATTGGTTTTTCTCTTCTTTCACCTTTCTGATTTTCCGCTATTTTTTTCCTCCTTTTCCTTCTCTCTAGATTCTCTTGTGTACTCTATGTGTTTTTTTGTGACAAGGTCTCTCTAAGTTGCCCAGGCTGAGCTCAAACTCGTGACTCTCCTGCCTCAGAGTGCTGGGATTACAGGTGTGTGCCACCATGCTGGACTTGTTTAATTTTGATAATTTATTAGTTTGTTCCTTCATTCCTTCCCTAACAAATTCTAAAAGGCCCCATGCATGTTAACCATGGGCCTTTCTGCTACTATAACTGCATATGAGTTAATCGACCTATAAAGGGAAGCTTTATTTTAGTTGGTGGTTTCACGGCTTGTGGTTACCTTTAGGCCTGTGGTGAGGCAGAACACCGTGTGGGAATGCCATATGGGATTGTCATGTGGGAACATGTGGCAAAGCAAAACCACTCCCTTCAAGGCTGGGAGGCAGAAGAGAGAAAGAAGGAAGGACCCAAATCCCATGAGTCCCTTCGAGGTTGGGTCCCCAGTGACCCACAGACCTTCCGGTCATCCCTTCTCCTAAATAGCACTGGTTGGAGCCAGGCCTTAACCACCCAGGCCTCGAGAGTCGGTCCAGAGCCAAACTACAGTGTCTCAACATGGTCCCATCCACTCCCCTTGCTTTGTTTTTATACATTAACTGATTTTCCCTCAAGAAACCCCTTTGATCTGACAGAAAAGGACAGGATTCCTGACAAGGCTACCAACGAAACGATCTCCCTCAGAAAATACTCGGTATCTACTGTAATTTTTTGGAGCCCTGTAGTAAGGATTTAGTATTTTCTTCTTTCCAGTGGGGCCCTGGCTGCAGCCATAGTACAGTTTTTAAAATGTCCACACGTGACTCCATTCCTCTCGTTCCAAGCTATTTAACAACTACTACAAAGATATTCTTTCAGCATTTTAAGCCTATTATTACTTGCTACGTGTGGGTAAAACAGCCATTACTCAGCAGTTTGGCAGAGGAGACCAGGATAATAATAATAATAATAATAACAATAATAATAATAACATAAATAAGTCAATAAAGAAGTGGAGGAAAAATAATTTAATTATAGAAGCAGGCAGACAGGTAATATTATTACTATTACTATTTTTATCATTTCCATTTACCGTTCACTTTATCAAAAGACTTAGCTCAACTTAAGGCAGTACGGTCACATTTAGATACCAACACAGTCCGTCATTTCTTCTTTCCCCACGTGGATCGCCCTAAGCACACACATTCCGGCTCACACTGCCATGGGGTCCCCTGGTAGGAAGCCAGTGATGCTGGTTGGTTTGTGTTTTTCAGAGTCAAGGGGCCCGAGAAGGAGGAGAGGTTGAGGCGGGCAGTCACGCAGGTGATGAAGTGCGATGTGACTGAGCGCCAGCCTCTGGGTGGGGCCCCTGCCCCCTGCTGACTGCCTGCTCAGCACTCTGTGCCTGCATGCTGCCTGCGCGCGGCCTGCCCGGACCTCCCTGCCTACCCGCTGCCCTCAGGAACCTCAGCAGCCTGCTCAAGCCAGGCGGCTTCCTGGTGCTTGTGGATGCGCTGAAGAGCAGCTACTAAGCGGTTTTCAAGCAGCGGTTCTCCAGCCTCTGCCTCGGCCCAGAGGCAGTAGAGGCTGCGGTGAAAGAGGCCGGCTATACCGTCGAGCAGTTTGAGGTGATCTCTCAGAGTTACTCCTCGACCACTTCTGACAACGAAGGGCTTTTCTTTTTGGTGGGGAGGAAGCTGGACAGGTCTGTATGATGTTGTGTGATTTCAACTGAGTAAAGCAATGTCTTGACCAGTGGACTTCAGATCTCAGTTCCAGCCACTGTGGTCTTTGAGCTGAGAAGATGCAAAATGTCTAGGATTGATGCTTCTCCTAGGATAGAATTGGAATAACGAGTGCAGGAAAAACTTGTGGATAACCTACACGGTGCTCCACAAATGTGTGCTGGTGCTAGGGCATTCAAAGATGAGTACTTGGGGTGTCCAGTCCACCCTGCTTGTATTTACAAAAGAATTCATCTCTCCAGATGCCCAGTTATGGTCGTTCAGGACCACACTTGCCTTTGAGAAGTGTCTGCACTATTAGTTTTGGAAGGGAGGGGTGTCCTTGCCTCCTCCTGACTTCTCCCTGCTGAAGCTGCCGTTCCTCTGCCTCTGCTGCTGCTGGGCCTCTCCGGGCACAGCCATTTTCTACTGGATATCCCCACTTTTTCTTGAGACAGGATTTCACTATGCAGTTCAGGCTGGCCTAGATCTCACTTTGCAGGCCAAACTGGCCTTGAGCTCATAGTGATCCTCCTGCCTCAGCCTTCCAAGTGCTGGGATTACAGGAGTGCTCTTCCACACCTGGCTTGGATACCCTGCTTTTAGCACCATTCTGGCCTTAGGGGTGAGAACAACTGGTTAACATTTCTGTTCACCCCAGGATCCAATTTTTTTGTTTTATAAAGATCATCTTATTTTCAAGTTCTAATTCACCCATTCATTGTTTTTCCTTGGGCAAGTTACATAGCCTCAGTTTCCGCATCTGCAAGATGAGATTTAACTAGAACTTCCTGTTAAGAGAATTAAAACGAACTCTACATACAAAGCATCCAGACTAATGATGATCACTTGATAAGCATTTGATAAGTATTAACTATATAATCATTATCACCATAGTCATTGTAATCATCATCTTTTCTATTAGTTGCCAAACAGCACAGAAAAGATGCCTCAGTCTCCAAGTAGGAGGGAAGGTTGCTGCTCTGGGCTGTAGCATCCAGGCTCCTGACTAGCATTGCTTTCAAGAGGGGCTGTGAAAGAAGTCAGTTTCTGAACCACATGCTGCTAATTCCTTCATGATTTAAGAAATATTCAACATTAAATAACATGTGTTTAGCACCCTCCACATATCTTACCTGTACCAGGCCCTGGAAATGCAAATGAAACCCCAGTATCAGCTGGCTGAAGAGCCCCCATCTTTGCAGTCACAGGGACACCCAAGTGCTCCTGAGGGCAGTACTGCTGTGTAACTGTCCTCATGCAGAATTTACCTGCCTAGACACTCCTGTGCAGGCTGTGCTGCTCATGTGCCCAGCCCAATAATCCTAGGGAGGGGACGAAATGATCTACCGTACTTTCAGAAAGACATTTCCCCTGCCCATGGTTCTGCCCTAATGCCTCAGAACCATGCTGGTTCCCCGCCAGGGTGGTAGGGGTCACCTTCCATCTATACCAGAGGCTGGTAAGCTTTCTTGCCCAGAACTAGATAGTAAATATTTTTGGCTTTCTAGGTCATACAGTCTTGGTTGCAACTACCCAACTCTGCAATTGTAGCAGAAATAGCCATAGGCGGAGTATAAATGACGTGTGTATGTGTCCCAATAAACTTTATTTACAAAAACAGGTGGACAAGTAGATTTGAAGCAAGGGTTGTAGTTTGCAGATCCCTGATCTAGACCCTAAAGCAGCTTGTTTGTGCCTAAGGTGTAATAAAATTTCTCATGAACATTCTGTTTAGTGTCTAACTTCCAGTCCTATTTATGGGAGCTCAAACAAAATCTAGGGGGCTGGATGGGACTAGGGAGCGTATTGTTTTCTTTATACTCCATTCATCCTCTGTCATTCTGTGTTATGTTTAGAATCTAACACGTCCCGCAAATGCTCGTGTGTTCGGAGGTGGAGCTTTTGGAAGGTGATTGGGTGGTGAAGGCTTTAACTTCATCAGTGGATTCATCCACTGCGGGTTCATGGCTTGATGTCATCATTGGCGATGATGGAAATTTGGAGGGGCCTCCATGAAAGAGTGTAGCCCTGGGATTACATCTTATCCCTGCCTCTCCTTGATGGAGACCACTATGAAGTGGCTCTGAGCAGGATTTAATACTAACCAACTGGATTTGCATGTTTACTTGTGAGTTGTCCAAAGCTTAAGTACCTTGTTTAAAAGTGGGCAGTGGACTCACAGTAAGTGAACCTCGATGAGTCACTGCTCACCGCTGAGGCCTGTATTGGCCTGTGAAGCTGTGAGGCCTCTAAGGACAAGATAAGGCACAGCTGAGGACATCTGGCTCCAAATGCTGAGGATGCAGGGAGCCACAGTCCCTGTGTAATATCCTGGGGAAAAGAGAGCTATTAAAAAGGTTGCTAACCCATTTGGTGTCATGTAGCCCATGTACCTTAAAGGAGACTGCAGCTGCAGGCTCCACACTCCTACAATAAATACCAACCTAAAGATAAGGTAGTTCTCCTGATTGACATACTTGACTACTTGGGAAAATTCTCCCAAGGTCCTGCTCAGATTCCCATGTTTTCTTGAGTATCCCCCTCCTTTGTTCGTAAACCAAACAAATATGGGCTGCCCGGAGAAGTCCTTGTCTAAACCCAGAGAATATTGAATGCTATAAGAGAGCAAGACCCTCTTGGAGCTCCAAAATCATGTCAACTTGTCTCATTCCACTCACTTGGGAGACTGTGGGCCTAAGCAGCCCACAATAATTAAGGGTTGTTTAACCAGATATCTCCTCCTTTTCCTCCTTATTCTGCTCCTCTTTCTTCCTCTTATTCCTTCCTTTCTTTCTCTCCCTCTTCACCTCCCTCTCCCTCCTCTTCTCCTGTCTTCTCATGTGCCTCATCACAAGCCCTACAAGCAATGGAGCCAGCTAACTGGAACCATAAGCCAAAATAAACCTTTCCTCCTTTATATTATTATTTTCAGGTGTTTCATTACAGTAGCAGAAAGCTGACTGACATACTTTCTTTCCTGCTCCATCCTCCATTCAAAAGTCTTTCTTTCCCCAGTTGGAAGCCATTCTGTGGACACAAACAGAAAATTAAAAAACAAGTGAGCAACAGATAAAGTGTCCACTGCACCAATATTTTTCAAAAGGCAAGTTACCATTCATTGGTGTATCCTAAAATTGATTTGCTGCACCACGATAAACACTTTTAAAAATAATGCAGAACAGATTGGAAAACAAACCCCAGACAGTAGCACTTCTTATAGTATTACTCTGTGAACTTTTGTTTCAGTTTTACAAACAAATTTGTCTATTTATGCACGCCTATTTATTACTGGATCCTGATATAACATATGTTTATTGGTGTGGGTTATGATGGAAAAAAAAAAGCTTCAAAACTGCTAGCCTATATTCTGGGCTCCTGGGACCCCTCTGTGAGAGCCAAGTTTTTTTTCACACAGGGGTAAATGCCATAGCCCATGTTCTTAAGGAACTCCAAGTCAATGGGAGAACCTGACCTGCAAATAGTTAAAACAGAGAGAGAAGGGCTCTGAGATGAGAAAGCATTAGGTGCCAGGAGGGAGGGCGCCAAGAAGAGTGGCATTTGCTCTGGGTCTTGCCGGCTGGATCAGGGTGTGTTTGGCAACCAGAAAGGAAAGGGCAGTCTCGGGGACAACACGTACAAGGTGTGCAATGACTTCTTCTGATAGCAGACTCCTTGCAGGTTTGTTCTGAGAGGGAAGCTGGGACCTAAGCAAACATTTGACTTCTGATTTTTCATTTGCTTTTCCTGAAATCAAACAGACCAACCAAGTCATGAGCAAACACGGACTAGGGGGTCACTCCGGTCCTAACGTGTAAATCTCTTTGACTGCTGACCCAGCACGACTTTTTTCAGGTCCTCTTTCTGAGTATGTGTCGGACAGTCTCACCCTGAGCAAATGCTGAGGATGCAGGGAGCCGCAGTGCCCGTGTAATATCCCGGGGAAAAGAAAGCTATTAAAAAGGTTGTTAACCCATTTGGTGTCATGTAGCCCAGCCTTGGTAATTCCCATCATCTGGCTGTCAAGAGTAATAAAAGGAGATGTCCATGATATGACTTACTAGGCTGAGCTTTAAAAGCTGTGACTGCCCCCTCTAATTTTAACTTCAGCCACTTCTGAATGAGAGGCAACCAAGGAATTTTATAGAGGGTAGGAGGAAGGGGAAAGCTCAGGATGGAGGGACGGAAAATTCAATTGCTGTGAGTGCATCATCTTACTTTTCACAGGCACAAGACCCCTCTGGAAAACAGGGGTGATAATCATCTCTCAGGTCTGGGCTGAGATCAAATGAGATACCCGTGAAGGCATTTTTTTGTATCCCATTACGCGATTGAATATATTACAGAATTTCAATATTATTAACCCCTTCTAGAACAACCATGAACCACAGACTTACTATGTTTGTTCATTAAATTTTCTTAATGAGATAAGGTGATCTCAAAATCTGTCTCACATACACTTGATGTCTGAGTCAGCACCATACGCACCCTTGATCCAGGGTCATCTTCATGGTTATATATTTATGCAAGAGGTTTTTCTTTTATTGCTTTCCCGTTATGTGCTGGATATTGAGCTTGAGTGCTGAGGATGTTACATCGTAAATGTCGCAGATTCCGGCCTCGTGGAGATTCTGGCCTGGCGGGGCTTACGGCTCTCTCTGAGGTAGACCAGGAAGCTATTCCCTCCTGCAGAGCGTAAGAAAAGCACTAGATCTTTTGGTTCTCATATCAGCCATTCAGGAACATTTTGCATTTTCTGACAGAGGACTCCAAAGCAAGACAAACCAGGCTTTTCTCATGGCGGTATCTTCTTCCCATATAGTACCAGCCCACCACCACCACCACCACCACCGATTACCACCGTAATCATCGAGAATATGTTTAAAGAATTAGCAAAGACAAATACCATGGTGAGTGGAACCACTGGAGCTTCCTGCTTCATATTTTTCAATGGAAATAGTGATTTCTACTTTCTGGTCCTCACTTCTCTCTTTTTTTTCCCCCTCTTTCGGGCCGCAATCTCACATTGAATGAAAATGCGTTCCTCAGCTCCCAAATTACCAGCAGAGGGCGCACATGGCCCTTGCTGAAGGCCTCTGTGTCCATTTACACAAGAAGGAATTTAAATTACGATAAGGTTTCCGAAACCAGGAGCCTCTCCACAGTATTTTCTTTTGTACACTCCACTAGGCTGCTAGGGAAAGGGGCAAGGGAGCGCAGCACATTTTCCTCTAACAAAAAGCACGTATAATTTTTATAGATAGATACATTAAAAATTTTCCCTTTTGGGTCTATACACAGAATGCAAATTTTAGTAAACCATACAGAAGTTCTTGGCCAGATTAGCATGAGAATGTTAAATATTAGATTATGCAGTTAACTCACCAATCACCTTCTATTTCCTGTTGATTCAAGAGAGGGAAAGAAGTTTTTGTGCTTTTTCAAGCCCTGGTTTTTTAATATAAAAAAAAGAAAAGAAAAGAAAAAGGAGTTCCTCTGTGCCCACGGTTGCTGACCAAACCATTATGATCAAAACTTCGATTTTTACTTTAATAGTGTCTGATGGATTCAGGAGAAGAGTTGGGGATGGATTTCTTTGAGTTAACAGTGCTTTTATTCTGACTTCAGCGTTGAAAACCAGGAAATAATTTCTTTCCTGGTAGATTCTTTCTTTTCAGGGAAAAACTCTGGGCATTTAAACAAAAGAGAAATTAAAGAATCGCAGTGAGCAGTTGGGCTGTTTGTACCCAGCTGACTGGGAGAGGGTCTAGCGCTCCTTGTAGTACAGGAGCAGGAAGGCTTTTCAAGGAGGAGAAGCCGTGAGCTGTTGCCCCTTAAGGGGCAGTTTCAAGGGTCAGTTTCTGTCCCCTTCTTACCACCCTCTAAAGTTTGCTAAATTCTCTAGAAACGCAACCTTTTCTCTAGCAGAATTTATAATCACGAGTTAAGATTTACAAAATTAGAAGTTAAAACCTTCTGTTTTATTGGTGAAGAAATAAAGACTGAGAGCAGAAGCAAGCAACTTCACCCTTCTGTACCTCCATCTCCGCTGTGAAATGAAAGGCTGAATTACATATCCATGAGGTTCAAGGGTCTACGATGCAGGAATTAGTGAACCGTATTTGTTGAAATAGAATTCTAACACAAGGACCACCAGAGTTAATCCTGTCATTTAAGATTTGAGTGAAATTGATTCAAACCCCCATCATTTACACAACCCATAATTTCTCTCATCTTTCGGAGAATTTGAGGGCAATGACTTATAATTCTCCCGGTGACATCTAGATTGGAGCTCCTGCTTGCTCTTGAATTCCAGTTTGGGAATCATATCACCTCAGGCACATGCCAGCCCTTCTCTGCACTCCATGAGCACTGACCAGATGATCCTGATCGCTTCATTTTCTGAAATTCCACTGATTGTCATGTATATGAGTTATTCTTTACCTCAGCTTCAAGATAACCGGAGCGATTCGCTCTGTAGAACCAGAAAAATTTAAAAATAGCATCTGTGTAAGTAATGGTCCTCTGGAGGAACAGGACCAGTAGAATATATGTACGAGTATTTATTAGATCTCTTACAAAGTCAGAGGCTGAACTGTCCCACAATGGCTGTCTGTGGGCTGGAGAACCAGGGTTGAAATAACTGTTCAACCCAAGAAACCGGAAGCCTCAGAATAAGAGGGACCAACAGTGCAGCCCCGGTCCGATGATAAAGGCCTGGAAGCGCCCCTGGAGAGTCAGTGGTGTAGGTCTGTATTCACAGGCTGAAGAATCTGGAGTCTGATAGCCACAGATGGTGGCAGCAGCAAAACACAAAGACAAAACAACAACAATGAAAACCACCACATCAGGAAGAGTTGAGCATACACATACACAAGCTTACTCCTCCCATTCTTCATTCTGTCCAGCTCCCCAGCCTCATGTGCGGTGCTGCCCATGTTCAGGGACCCCCTGACCCACATGCCAGTCATCGCTGAAGAAACCTCGCAAACACACCCAGAAGTGTGGTGTGTTTTTACCAATTTCTGGGCCTTTGTCAATCCAGTGGAGTTGACAGCCAAGATTAACTACCCAATCCACCCCTTGTCATCTTGGCACTCAAATACATCTCCCTAAACCACATTTAATTTCCAAAGAAAGGAAACAAGGCCATAATTCCACCTACTACGACATAACTGTTCTGTGTACAACCAAACACTAAGTCCTTCCTCAGAAGAGAAGGTGAAGTTTTTGAGTGGTGCATTCCGTTGCTTCTCATCTTACAGGGAACTCGCTTCTCAGCAACGAGGATTCCTCCAGCTGCCTTCTCCGAGTTGCTCTGCTGCCTGCTTCCCATTCATATCATTTCTTCACCAGACAGAGTCCAAGGCTGATCCCCAAAGTGGAGATGGGGAAGTAACTCAAATCACCCAGGAGGCAGGTTGCGAGTTTGCTGACGTCTGTCACAGAAAAACAATTTTCAAGATTTATCGCTAAGAGGCATAAGGGGTATGTTATGCAGAATTATAAAAATACACATTCAGAGAAGTAATTTGGGCCCTCAGAAGAGGAATGGGACCTCATGGGATTTACGTGGACTGGGGTGTGTCCCTAAAATGGACTATGGAGGGTGTGTATTCTAGTGTCTGTCAGTTTACCTATTTAGTGGACCATGTTAAAATGCAAACCCTTTACCTGTATTTGACGCTGAGATATGTTGTTCACTCAATAGTGAGCTCCTCGGAGTGTGGGAGGTTGGCGGTGGTAGGAAGGAATGCAGCCTACAGGTGAGAAGCACAGGCCTAGTTTACTAGCTTACTGTCTTTAAGACCCTTAGGAAATTTTTTTTCCCCTGGGAAGGAAAAAAAGCTTGAATAATGTTTGTGTCTTAAAGCTGCAGTTCTTCCCAAAAATATAATCCTAGAGGTAAGATTTTTCCTTCTCTCCTTTTTTGTTGTGGTTGTTTTTGAGACAGGATCTTGCTTTGTAGTACAGGCTGGCCTTGAATTCACTATGTACCCCAGGCTGGCCTCGAACTCTCAGAGATCCTCCTGCCTCAGCCTCCCAAATGCTGGAATTACAAGTATATGCCACCACACCCAGTTTCTTTTCTATCTTTATTTCTTCTATTTTATGTCACTTTTACTTCTGTCTTCAAATTCAGGCCATACCCAAAGGACTCGACTTCCCTCAGGTCTTCAAGGCATTTTACTTGAAAGGATCTTTGGTGCTTGTATTTAAAAATTAAAGAATTAGCAAAACATGTTGGGGTAGGCCTGATAGTCTCAGCACTCTGGGAGACTAAGACAGGAAGACTGAGAGTTCAAGACCAGCCTGGGCTAGACAGTGAGTTTAAGGCCAGCCTGGACTACATAGCTAAACCCTGTCTCAAAAAAAAACAAACAAAAAATTAAAGTAAAATAGAATACAGTTCACTTTATGTGCCTATGAAGAGCTTAGGCTCTGAGCTTTTCAACACCCAAAACAAGGCTTCAAGTTTCACTGTGTTCATAAATTTGCTCGGCATCAGCACAGCTTTTCCCTGAAAATTCCCACAGCCCATGACCAGGGGGCATCCTGTAGGTATCACTCTCACCTGTCCCTTTGGCTTAGTTCAGTTAGTGATTTTAACTTGACTTTTTCAAGGTCCTTTAGAAGAGCATTATGAATTCCTGCAATAAAAACAAACATTTCTTAAAGGATAGGGATGGTTTGCAGAGCCTGCTAGACAGAGACACGAGGCAGACAAGCTCCCTGACCTCCTAGAGCCCACAGTCAAGGAGGGCCCAGGTAAGCAGGTGGCCGGCTTTAATATGTGGTGTCTCTTTGGAGACAGGAGCGTCTAGAAGGGTGCATCTTGAAGGGTTGACAAAAAGTTCCTCCAGGAAGTGATGTCTCAGATGAAATAAGATTTGTCTGAGAATAGAAGGAGGGAAACAAATTCCAGACAGAAGAGCATATACAAAAGCGCCTAGAAACCAGAGGGATAGTACACAGGACTGGACTACAGTAGATCTTGTGGTCACCACCCAGACTCTTTGCTCTGGCTCAGCACGAGCCCCAGCTGCTCCGGCTCACAGCTGTTCCTTCTCAGGAGAATTGTTCTAGCTCATGGGAGCCACCTGAGAAGTTGCAGGCCACTCTCCTCCCCTGCAGGAAGCAGCCCATGGCCCACAACTGACTGACCCCAGAACTCGGTAGGCTCATCCTCTTTCAAGAAGGACATTGTCCGTGCACTGTATGCTCTTGTGCTTCCTTTTGCATGGGTCAGGCTGATGCTCGAGTTTACCCAAGACCACGTCCTTGCTCAGCTTCCCTCTTCCCTCTCTTCTCAGTTTCCCTAAAAAGCTTTCCTTCTCGAGCTCTGATTCTGAGGAAGCCAAACTAAAGGCAGCCCTATGGGGAGAATTGTTGGAGTTACAGTGGAGACTTTAATGGACTTGGTTCAAATGTGAGTCCTATCTATTACCAGGTTAAGATTTTACTGACTTAAATGACTGCCACTTTCAATAAAAATTCTTAGGTAATATATCATTTCAGTTTCTGGTTATTAGAATCACAATCAAATTTAACTCTTAGTTCAACTTCCTGAATTTATAAATAAGGACATTAAGACTGAACAAGTCATGACATTTGGGCAAATCTTCTCTAAAGCAATCTCTTTGAAAAATGGGGAGAATAATTGAAAATCTCTCTGCTTTAACAAGATACAGGTAGAATAAAACATAACCTAAGAGTATCTAATATCTTTGTTCTCCTGGGATACAAGGACAGGCTCACTGTGGAATACAACCATCAACATTCCAAGTCTTGGAAATTCATACATTTTATGTCAAATAGAGTTGCTTTCTGCTTATGAAAGCAGATTAGTGTGAATCAGTGATTACATCAGCTATGCAGGCATTGATCAAATGAAGTTTATGCACCCATAAGATGACACCCTGAATCAAGGCACTGACACTCTCTGAAACTTGATGAAGTAGTATAATGTTTTCCACGCTCCTTTTGTCCCTTGGAGATCAAGGGGAATGACCTTCTATAAAGGAGCAGAATGGGTGGGGGACCTTGAAGGGTGAGCAGAAAGAACACCGAAGAGACCCACTGCGAGGCACAAAAGCAGAACACCTCCTCACCAATGCAATGCGCTTTTTAGTTGCTTACTCCCAGGCAGTAAACATAATCCATGAATTAAAGATAATTAGTGTCCTTCTAGAAAATGCAGCTGTAATTATAGACATCTAAGTGCACTTAGTGCATTTGGGAAGAATCAACTCTTTCACAGTTCACAGAGGGCCCTACTGGCTGGAGAGAAAACTCAGCACCCTTTTGTAACCGGATAATTATGAGAAGAGGATGAAGTAGAAGGAAACCTGCCCCCCAGACAATAGTATGGTCCCCATAGTGGAGGACGGAACACCCTACCTTTAATGTAATGAGGAGCACCACCAGTTCACAGGCCGGGTGAGCTGAAGGCCCAAGTCCCACAGAGTGGACTTGTTCTTTGCACCCTCCTAGGGCTCACAAGCACCTTGTAAGTGTCAGGTACTAGGCACTGGGAAAATAAACAGTAAATCAGTTGTACATGGTCCTTGCTCTCTCAGAGCTGGTGAGTGATGTGGGCTGAATGTTTGTTTCTCTGCAAATTGATATATTCAAAACTAACCTCTGATCTGATGGTATTGGGAGGAGGGGTCTCCAGGAGGAAATTCGGTTATGAAGTAGAGCATTCATAAATGGGATCAGTGCCTTTATAAAAAAAATAGACACAGGAGCTTAGTCTTGTACTCTGCTTTCTGCCCTGTGGGTAAATAACAATAAGATGTCCATCAACAAATAAGGGAAAGAAGCTCCACAGATCCACTGGCAACCTGGTGTTAGGCCTCCTAGCCCCAGAACTGTGAGAGATGGAAGTGGGTGTCCAGGCTATCCAGTCTGACAGACTAGGGCAGCAAAAGTGGGCAATTAGCTAAGCAAAAACAATTCCATATAGAAACTGCCATATAGGAAGGTGCATGATCATGATCTCCTGAAGAGAATGACTTCTAAACTTAGAACTTGAGGATAGTTAGAAGGGAAGGCAGTAGAGGGCTGAGAGTAGGGAGAAACATTCCAGGCAAAGTGTAAAAGAGACCTGGGGATGAAAGAAAGAGTCTGTCCAATTTTAAGAATTGGGGAGGTTCTCTGTGGCTGGATCTCTAGGATCTCAGCAAGGACTGGCTAGAGATGGACTGAAGAGAGAAACAGAGGCTGAGTCAGAAAGGCTGAGGGCATTTGCAGCAATGAGTTTTGAGCACACTGAGAGGTCCTTGAAGGTGTTAAGTAAGGAAAAAACAAAATATAACCTTGCAAAATATAGAAATTTCTACAGTCCTTCAATGTTTCCACAGAAGGTTCTTTGGATTCTTTAGTCTACCAAGTAACTGAAAGAAAATGTTTAGTTTTATCAAAGCCTTTTGCTCCCACCATACTCCTGCCTAAGAACCTTTAATGATTCCTCGTGGCACATGTGTTATGGTTTGTGTCTAGATGTTCCCCCAAAGCCTCCTGTGCTCATAAGTGAGACTTTTCTGAAGCAGCTGGATCTAGGGTATGTGATAGTGGGATTAAGAGTGTGTGGTAGCTAAACTCATTTAGCATAGTCCTGGGTGCAGATAATGGAAGCCCCACTTTAGTGTGGGTAGCACCAATTGATAGGCTTATAGCCTGGATGGAATATAAAGGTAGAGAAGGAAGGCAGTCTTGCTGCTGATGCTTGCTTCTTCCCTGTCTCCTGACTGCTTTCCTGTGGGCTGTTTCTCCTCAGGCATGCCCCTCTGCTCTGCAACCTTGCCTCGGAGCCAGCCAACTATGGACTAAAACCTCCACAACTGTGAACTGAAATAAACCTTTCTTCCTTAACTTTGGGTGTCAGGTACTTTGTCTTAGCAACAAGGATAGTAACCAAGACAACATAGGATCAGGTCCATCTTTCTCTGACTTCTTTTTCCAGGGATTCTTGTTGTTTGCAGTAGTTATATCTACAGTTACCACAATACTGGATTAACAAATGTGGAACCACTCCTCCTAGGGAAAATACTTCATTAGTTTCCTGCCATCCTCCAATCACAACATTTTTGTTGCATAAAAATACATGTTGTTCCATGTGTGTTTCTGTTTAAAGACACATTATTTACTACATATTGTGGATTCATTGAAGTTGAACTTGGGCCAACAGCATTGTGACTTCTGCCTGAAAAAAGCTTATCTACACATATGGTATTTTCCCTGTGAGGCAGATCACAGCCTTCTTGTGCTTTTCTAAGAGCAGAAGAGGGCTTTTCTGAGCTGTCGTGGGGGCATTTTAAACAGTGAAAAGACTAACCAAAAGCACAGAAATGTGAAAAGCATGGCCCTG